ATTCCTGCTCTTGTGTGGAACAGAGAGGTGGTAACTGGCAGCCTACTGTTAACAGACAATTTCTTTCCCCTGTTGCTCCAGGAGAAAGGCCATATAAATGTCAGACCTGTGAGCGAACCTTCACCTTGAAGCACAGCCTGGTTCGCCATCAGCGGGTCCACCAGAAAGCCAGACATGCCAAACACCATGGGAAGGACAGTGACAAGGACGAGCGGGGTGAGGAGGACAGTGAGAGCGAGTCCACCCACAGCGGCAACAACCCCGTCTCGGAGAACGAGGCTGACTCAGCCCTGCTGGCCAACAACCACGTGGCTGTCACCCGGAGCCGGAAGGAGAGCCTGGCCAAGGATGCCAGCCGCAGGGAGGAGAGGGTGGCAGCAGGTCGGACGGCCGTAACCGGGCAGGCAGAAGCCAGCAGGAGTGCTCCCAAGGCCGCTTCTGAGGGCAGCCCCAAGGAGCAGGCGCCTCAGGGTGACCCTGACCCCGAGAGCCCGGCAGCCCTTGTGCAAGACCTGCTGGAGCTGCACGCCAAGAGGCCTGCCCGCCCCATGCTGGCCGCCGCCGATGGCGCCTCGCCACTCCTGGGAGTGGAATGACGGCTCATCCCGTCCCCCAGCACACAGACGAGAACCAGCAGAGCAGAGTGTCCTGAATCTTGTTTCATGAGGGTTCCTCAGTGCCCTTCAGCTGTCGGGGAGTAAAAGAGAGCGAGAGAGAGGGAGAAAGGGAGCCAAGCAGGAGCGGGCCGACTCGCTCGGTGCCATAGCCTTACACATGCCCGTGCGAGAAACCAGCACAGCACGGACAGTTCGAGTGCCTTAACTACTTAACCAGCCCTTCAGTGTCGTCCTGGGTGTTACATTGTATTGACTTTTTAAAAAACAAAGCAGATATTTTAATGAATTATTTGGAGAGGACCTTTTCATTTAAGCATTAACGTTACCTTCTGTGTTGGTGTGTGTGAGCTTGTTCTTGCGAATCTGTGATAGTAACATTTGTTCTGTGAGCTGGAAACAGAAGAAAAAAACATGCCCTAGGACACCCATAGCCAATAATAACTGGAAGAAAATGATGTGAATTTCGTGTAAATTCCCAGAGGAAACATGGATGAGATGCTCATTTCTCAGATAGCCCTATTTTTCTTTTTTTCTTTCTCCTTTGTCTGCTACACGGTGGAGCTAAAATTTGGTCCTAGGTATTGCAGGATGTGGTTGATGAAGGTTTCCAGTTTGGTTCAAGCCAAAACCAGGAAGGATTCTAGCTGCAACTTCATACGTGTTTCCACTCTTTCAGCGTCAGACACGCTATTACTGTTCAAGTCTCGAGACATTTGTTCTTAATTTACAGAGAAGAGTTAACCCTGGCAACTTAATCTATGGAGAACATACTCAGATGTCATATAGCTGATTTCCCCCCTTTCGGTATATGTATTATTAATATTATTATTATTATTATTTTTAGTTCATCAGTTTGCTGGTCTCTGCAGTCAGCAGAAACAAATGGGCAATATTTGTCCTGGAGACCTGGGCTGTCCCCGGGTCCCCGTGTAAGCGTCTGCCCGCAGCTTTCCTCGCCACTTGGGTGGGAGCTCTTCTACTGTACTTAGACAAGCCTTTCTTCTGTGACTGCAGAATCCAGCAGGGGCCGTGAGCAGTTGTCCACATGCGCTGAGGAGCAGCTCAGAGAGGGGAGCGTGAGGGCGCATGTGCCCGGGGCTTCTGAGAAAGCCAGGCAGCAAGGAGGCCTGTCACTCACCGGTCTTCTGCCAGACCCAGCCCAAGCCTTACCCTCCTGTGCTACTGTCATTTGCAAAGCAAGGAAATACTACTACTGGTAATAAAACTGCACATGCAAGAAAGGTTGAAGATGAGAAGTAGATTTATATTTACCTTCCTGCGATTTGGGATTGGTGCTTGGTGATAAACATGTTGTTTCTAGTGTCTGAAATAGCCTGAACCCCTGGGTGCAAAAAGGCAGGATTTTTTTCTGTGAGCATCTTTTGCAGGCAATAGACTTCCCTCACTGTAGCCGCCAGCAGTGAAAAGAAATATATCCTACTGTAGCTGAGCTTGTGCTCGGCATCCTGTCCTTCAGCCGGAACCTCTAGGATGCCCGAGGCTTAGTGACTCCAGGGCCTCCTGTGCTGCTCCACCACTCAGATCCTCTCGCCTTGCCCTGGGGGAGCCTCCCCAGCCCCTGTCCGCCCCTCCCAGGACCCTTGCCCTTTGTCCCTAAGTGTTCCCCCTTGACACTCAGAGTGTAAGTGTGCAGACACACCCTTTTCTCTCCACTTCCTCACCAGTTTCTGGTGGCCAAAATCCTACCACCCAGACTTCAAAGGAAGATAGATGTTCTTGAGATAATGAAAAGTGATATCTTTGCATGTGAAAGAAAAAATGTTGAGGTATATATGATTTTTAACTGTATTAGGGATGTATGAACCAGTTTCAAAATGAGGTTTTATTTACTCTAGATGAATACACATCAGAACCAATGATCCCCTTGTATCACTTCATACCAGGTGTGGTCTGCTTAGTTAAAACCAGTTCATGCATCCCTTAATTTTTTATGATGATTGTTGTTATTTTTGTTGTTATTATTATTTGGGATTTCTTGTGTTTTGTTTTTCTTTGCAACTCTCCACACTAAAACTTGCAACATGTGGGGAGAAGCCATGACTTAACTCTACGCTGCAGTGAGATGTAGCAGGAATCGCCCTGGCAAATGCAGCTGGGGCTGCAGCTCGCAATAATCACTATTGATTTAAAGCTTTATTTAGCCTTCATCTGTACCCTCATAGTCAATAAGGTCTTGCCACATTTTATTAGTGAGGTTGAGAGATGTATTATTTGTTGGTTGTTCTGCTCCCCCACCCCCAATATTAAACTGTGAAATTTGTGATTTGTTTAAACTCTGGGTGAATCATAGCTTAGTTTGCATGTCCAGCTAATTTGTTTCCATACATTTTGTTTGATTCTCTTTCTCCTTCTCTCAGGGCTTTTACAAAAAAAAAATATATATATATATATGTGTGTGTGTATGTATACACACACACACACACACACATATATATATATATGAATCTTTTGAAAAGTTTTTTGAGGTGCAAGTTCTTCTCTTTTGTTTTTCTCTTTGATTTGTGGACACAATGCAGAGATTCAATCACTACAAGAAACTACTGGCTGTGAAAACAAAACAAAAAACCCAAAGGGCTCTTCTTCTTCCAAGCAGCCCCGGGGAAGCTACGTGACAGTCAGATGCCAGTTTCAGAAAGAATCATCATACCTTCAACCCTCTGTTCGTCTCTTTCCTCTCCGCTCTTTCTTCAAGAAGGAAGTTGATCCTAGTGATTTCAGCCCATGCATTAAACAGGAAACAATAATAGATGTGTAGAATTCATATTTTTTTCTAAAGGGAACTTAAAAACTGCTGCTACATGTTATGTACAAAACTGGTTTATGCCACATGAACAGAATCACAAGTTTGGTTTTGGTACTTTTTGTTCCTCTTTGTATTCAGTTGTATAGTACTTCCAAATTCAAAATGAGAAGAAAAGCTGTTCTGTATCAAACCATCTAAGCAATAAATGTTATATTTTAAAGATGGCAGATTGCCTGTCACACCGTTGTCCTGTGATTTGCTGTAATCCTGTCAGCTTGCCCTGCTTACCATCAGCACAGACATCCCTGGTACCCACGAAAGCTCCATCACCCAGCAGCCCCTTGTGCTTGGCTATGGTCATGACTTCATCCCTAGTGCACAGGGTGGGCTCTCCCAGGGCCAGTGGGCAGGCCCCGAGTTGGTTTAGCAACAGCTAAATCCAGTAATTTTTTTTTTATGGGCAGCAACTCCTAAGTCCACCCTGCCTTCTCCCCTTCCCACTTACAAGGGATAGCATTGCCTCTGAGGTGGGGAAGAACCTCTATAATCTAAGGGAGGGTTCTGGACATACGGTGACCCCAGGGGAATGGAGCAGGTTCAAACCCGGGGGGCGGGGGGGGTGGGGGATTGGTCTGCACTGTAAAGCAGTGAATGGGCAGAGAGAGTCCTGAATCTTCTAAGCTGCGAGTAGTTCTCAAAAAGCAACTCTTAAAGGATGCTGGCCTCAGGGGAAGCTGATTGTAGATGTTGCTTAAATGTGTTGACCACACATAGTTCCTAAGCACTAGGTCACAGCAAGACGAGTTGCAATGCTCTGGCCCTTAACGGCTTCCCAGAGTCCTCTCACCACCACACGCACCTGTGCTCACACACACACACTCCTCCCTTACCAGCCCCAGGAGACTGGCTGTGCTGAGATACCAGTGAAGGGTACTGACTTGTGCTAAGAAAAACAACCAAGTAACTCAGGAATGATTATAACATAAGCAGCTCACAAGAAACAAGCCCCCCAACCTCTCCAATTGGGTTTGGGTGCTGCTGGCCGCCAGTGAGCACCATTTCCCACACCCCCACCCCCCACATGGATGGAATCACTTTCCTGCCTGGGAATTCGGACTGCGCTTGGTCCACATGAAGGGCGAAGGGGCGGCCCTTTGGAGTGTGATAGGAAAAAAACGGAGTGTGGACCATGTGGGAAACGTACCCACCCAAAGCCTGCCCGTCCTCAGAGCACAGCCCCTGGGTCTGGGTTACGTAGGGGGAAAGCCTATCGGAGGTGAAAAGATGGAATTTATCAAGAGTTCTGCCTGTTGGAGATCTGATGTCGAGCAGATGCAGTGCATCAGGACTGGTACCTGTGAGCCGACTCCAGCCTCGGAATAAGCTGCCCTCCACTGCCACCCTTTTCTTTCCCACATCCCTTCACTCTCCCCTGCGTTCCGTCACTACGCCCTTGGTGAGTTTCTTCCACTCTGGCTGACACCCTGGACGGATGGTAGAGAAGGCCCAGGTCTCGGGTTGTGTTGTTTTCCAGGTAGTGCTCTCAGAAGAGGAGAAAGCAAGCACGGGCAGATGGACATTTTTTTACAGAATTTATTTTTCGACTCCAGTAGCGATTGAGCCTCATCGTTAAGAATAATGTTTGTTAGGTAAAAAATTGGGTTTGGGTTTTCTCTTCTGCTGTACCTTCAGAGAATCCCAGTCAAGCACAGGTAGCCCACGGAGCCAGGGGCCATGATGCTCTTTCTGCCTCTGCCCTGCAGCCGTGTTCTTGGCACTGGTGCCGACTTTCCCAGTTAGAAGGAGACAACGGAAGGAGCTTATGTTTAAAAGTCAGTCTCACTTCCGTGTTTGTCGAACTGCAGCTAAGGCCTATGACCCAAACTGAGCTTGGGGTGTTCGAGTCTTCTGTTCTGGCTCGGTATCCAAGTGACATTGTCTAAGCGTTTATTCCACAAAGCGTTTGCTGGGCAGCCGCTGTGCCAAAAACACTGTTCTAGGCATGCAGAACACAACAAAAAAAAACAAAACGAATTTTTTTCCTTGTGGAACTTAGATTTTAATGGTGGGAAATAGTAAATAGACTGGACGAGGATGATACAGAGTAAGTGCAAGTTGAAGGGGAAGACTAGGCCATGAAGGGATGGGGCCTGGAAGGGATGGGGCAGGATGACCAGAAAGGTCGCAGGACAGCAAGCAGTAAGAAAGTCTCCCACCCAGATGTCTGGGGAGGACCCCAGACAGAAAGGCCCCAGGAATCATCCTGGGCCCTCCGGAAGCAATCATGACTGGAGAGGGGTGAGCAGGGGGAGGGGGTGATAATGGATGAGGGGAAGGAAGGGCATGGTGGTTGCATATCGACAGTGGAGTGATGGGGACAAGGGCAGATGCAGAGAGACCCCCAAGAAGCAGCCACAGTAATGCAGGCAAGAGATGGCAGTGGCTTGGAGCAGAGCGATGGGGGCGAAGTCATCGAGAAGAAGTTTGGTTTAGGATATGTTTTCAAGGGGAGCCACCAGGGAATGGATGACAAATCGGACAGATACAGAAGCTATAGACAAGTCAAAGCTTTGAAAGTTTACCCAGAAAACAGGCTTGGAGGTTAGCCGTAACTTCTAGATGTTTGGAATTAACTTTTAAAAGAGGGAACTTCACTCCTGAAAAGATAACCCTGGTAGAGGATATGTTGCCAAGAAAAAGAAAAAAAGGGAAGAAATCCTTGATCCTTTCTGTCCGCCCCACATAAGCACCCTGTTTCTGGAAAGTGGCTGCTGACGTCCCTGTGACCAGGAGCATGAAAGTCTTTCTGTGGTGGGTCCTAAAGAAACAGCATCCTCCTCCCCATTGTGATTTCTGGGCCTGCCCCACCACCCTGACACCTGCCCCTCATCCTTATGTATTCACTGTTAGGACCATCCTGCTTGTTTGTCTTCTGAAGGTCACGAACCCAGCAGAGGCTCCAGGGCAAGCTACAGCTGCAGTTGGTCAGGCCACTCCCTGAAAATGTGCATGAGGGACAAGAGGCAGAGCAAAAGACTGGAGCACCAGACACCGTGCCCTTAATGGGACTGTTCCCGAGGGGGAGGGAGAGCCTGAAAATTTCAAGTTCCTGACTACGGTCTGGTAGTTCTGCCTGAGTAGGATAAGTTTTGATGGGCTGAGTGGACATTAATCCAAATGGCCCTGCCTGCAATTTCTGGTCGCCGTTTTCTAGGGAATGAGTCCACATGACAGATGGGCATGAGCACATCAACCACCTGGGCAGTCGTGCTGATCACTCTCTCTGATTTGGCCATTGCTGGAGCAGCCATGGCCAGTGAAAGGTGGGGCTGGGCTTGACCTTGACTTCCTTGATTCCAAGGTCAGTGCTGCTGACCCATGAGACAATCATCAGTCCCTCTGTGCCTTGAGGATTTAGATCCAAGCAGCCCCTTTTATCACTATTCCCTCTCCCCGCAGAAATAGCATTAAGGAGCGAGTACTTACCTCTTGCTGCTGATCTCAAGTTAGAACGACACATGTTATTTGTGTGAGTGTGAGAAAATACACAACAAAATTTACCATCTTACCCTTTTTCAAGTAGTACTAAGTCCACTCACCAATACCACCATTCACCTTGTAAAACTGATACTCTGACCCATCAAACACTAACTCCCATCCCCTCCCCCAGCCCCTGACAACCACCCTTTTACTTTCTGTCTCTATGGATTTGACTACCCTAGGAACCTCACATTCATGGAAAGAACATCATCGCATGTCTGAGAGGGAATGTTTTTTTTTTCTGAAAAAAAACTTTTTTTCTAGTTATAGAAGTAATACATGCATAATGCAGGAAACTTTGAAAATACAAAAGAGCACAAAGAAAAAGAAACTCACAGATAATCCCACCATCCAGAGATGACTGCTTTATTATTTCATCACTTAGATATATGTGGTCTATGTTAATATACACGTATATATCATATGCGCACATATACACACCTGCTATAGTTTTTATAAAAAGGATATCATTCTATGCACACTGTTATGGAAGCTGTTACTTTTTACTAAGCAACAGATCGTAAACATTTCCCATCAAGAAATATTTTCCTACTACTACAAGATGATTTTTTTACTGGCTATGTAGTATTCCATTTGCAGACCTGCTCTTGAATATCTCTATAAAAGGCAAACCTTAAACCCTCGAGAGACAGAGAGTTTAATCAACACACTGAGAGACTGATATGTGGGAGCTCAGATGAGGGACACGCAGGGAATTTATCCAGGGTGCAGGTGGAGGGGAGCCAGCTCTGGGGGGAGGGACTCAAATGTCAGGTCCTCCTGCCTGAATACACAGCCAGCCATCTGCCCTGCATAAGAGATGCAGAGTAGAGAAATGGCCAAGAGCCAGGTCTCGGGGCAAGCTGGCTGGCATGCAAATCCCAGCTCTGCTTCTTACGCCAGATGAATGGCCTTGTGCCTCAGCATCCCCATCTCTAAGAAGAGGGTAACAATAGTACCCACCACATAGGACTGGGGGGAAGACCAAATGACTTAATACACATAAGGTGCTTGGGACAGCACCTGCTGCCGAGTAAGCATGACAGGAATTGTCATCGTCTCTCATTACTGTGGGTTCTGTGCACGTCTCCGCGTAAGAATGCTGCACCTGTTGCCCGGGGAGGCAAGTGGGCAGACGTTGCACAGGACACATTCATTCCACAGATGTTGAAGGGATGGCCTGAGGAGGAGGCTTGTGGGGGATGACTGAGCTTTAGGAACGGCCCTCAAGGCCACCTCCTCCTCCCTGGCTGACAGAGAGCCCTGCTGGCTGGACACCTGGGTGGGGGGTAGAAGACAAACAAGCAGGGAAGGGGTTCTTCATGGGGAAAGTCCTTGATCTTGAACAATTTCTGGCACCACACTCAGTCCCCAAGATCCCAAGTCAGCCCCAGGCTGCCAGAACACACCGGTTCTTCCCACTCCTCCATAGGCCTGGCTTTTGCCAATTTGACCGTGAGAAGAGATCAGGCCCAGGAGAGAGTCCTGGGAACCTCTCACCCTGGGGCAACCTGTTCTGCTGCCCACCTGGGCTGGAGAAGCGTGGGTTCGCAACCTCACCCAGCCCATCAAAACGCTCCCTGCAACGGAGGCGCGTCCCAGACAGTGGCCGCCCCCTTTGGCTCTGTAGTTCAGTCACCCGCCACTCCCAGCCACCGGGCTCACAGTGGACCAGAACTCTGTTTTGGCCTTGGTGCTT